TTTATTGCCTATTCCTTGAGAAGCTGGTAGTAAGCTACCTTGTTGAACCGCAGCAGTCTTTGGGATGTGGATGCATCCAGATGGCTGTTATGGAGGGAGTTCCAAGATTTTGGTTCAGCAAGAGTGAAAGAACAGCGATATAGTTCCAAATCAGGATGGTATGTGCCTTGGAAGTGAACTTGCAGGTATTGCTGCTTTTGCCTTTCTGGGTAGTATAAGTTTGATGTTTGGAAAGTGCTGTTGAAGGAACCTTGGTGAGTTGTTTGGGGACATCTCGTGTGGATGGGTGCACTGCTGCCGCTGTGCATCGATAGTGAAAGGAGTAAATGTGGAAGATGTTAGGTGGGATGCCAGTCTAATGAGCCGCTCTGTCCTAGATGGCATTAGCTTCTTAGGCCTTTTTGAAGTTGCACTTATCCAGGCAGGTGGAGAGTTACACTACTGATTTTGTGCTTAGTAGATAATGGACATGGACAGGAAGTCAGGTGATGAGTTATTCACTGCAGGATTCTGAGCTGCTTAGCTGTTCTACTCTTGAAGCCTCAGTGATTATATGGTTGGTCAATGGCAACTCTAGGATTTTGATAGTGGGGGATTCAGTATCAGTAATGGTATTGAATGTGATGGGGTGGTGGTTAAATTTTCTCTTGCAGGAGATAGCCATTGTTTAGCCACTTATCAACACAAGCCGGAATGTTGTCCAGATCTTGCTGCATTTGGACATGGACTTCATCTGTAACTGAGGAATCATAAGTCCTGCTGAATTTTGTACAATTATTCATGAACAAACCCAGCTCTGATCTTTATGATGAAGGGAAGGTCATTGATAAAGCAGCTTTCAGAGCTCTGCAGAGATGACATGGGTTTTTATATGTGTGACAGATTTTATTCAGGGCTTTAAAATATCTACTCCACGAATCCAGCCATTTCCATAGTGTTATTTATTTTATTCTGAGTCCACAAGCATTCTTAATCAATTAAGCACAGTAAGCATCAGTACTAAACAGATGCACAAACAAACCATGACCAAACCATTGAACACCAGAGCTTTCTCATCAGATTTTGTTTCAAGCTTCACTTCCAAAATTATTAATTATTAACTTCATGCTGCGCTAAAGCATTCCTGCTACTTGTCAGTCTCTGGTAACTTAAACCGGTGCCTAATTTTTGTGAGTGAGTTTAGACTGTGAATTTCATTTCGTTAATCAACGTAGGATAACAGAGAAACCTGGCCTGTCTTCACCCACTATCAACAATGTGTTGTTAATTGGTTAATGGGCAGGAAACAGTAAGTAGGGATAAGGGGTTCTTTTTTAGGTTGGTGACTTGTGACCAGTGGAGTTCGGAAGGAATCAGGGCTGGGAACGCAACTGTTTATAATGTAGATGATTTGAGGGAAGGAGTCAAATGTACGGAAGCCAAATTTGCACGTGACACAAAAATAGGTGGAAAGGCCGGTTGTGAGAGGGATACCAACAGTTTACAGAGAGAAATTGATAAGTTAAGTCAGTAGGTGAAAGTTTGCAAATGAAGTATAATGTGGAAAAAAATGAAGTTATTCAATTTGGAAGGGAGAACAAAAAGAACAGAATTCTTTAAACGGGGAAAGTTGTAACACAAAGGGCCCTGGGGGTGCTTATACATGAAATGGAAAGGTAGCATTCAGATGCAGCAGGGAATCCGGAAGCCTAATGGAAAGGTTGCCCCTTATTTCAAAAGGGTTGGAATATAAGAGTAGGGAAGCCTTATTGTAACTGGAAAAGCTCAGCTTGTTTCTCTTGCTAGTGGTTTTTTCTATTGATGTGAATAGGGCAGTAACGTCAAATGATACCGTGGTCTTGTCATCATCTACTCTTATGTTCTTAATGGAATAGAGGAACTCTTGGGCTGAGTGGATTGAGTGGGGTGACTTGCTGATGAGGTGCTTTAGTCTCCTTTGTAGTTCCTTGGCTGATCTATGTGATGGCGTGCCATCGCATTCACTCAGCCTAAGAGTTCCTCAATTCCAACAAGGACATAAGAGTAGATGACGAGACCATGGTATCATTTGACGTTGCTGCCCTATTCACATCGATAGACATACCGCTAGCACGAGAAACAATGACAGCACTACTAAAACAATAACATGACCCCAGTGACACCATCTCCACAGACAACATGATGAAGCTACTGGACCTATGAATCACCACCCACTTCACCTTTAACGGCCAAATATATGAACAGATCAACGGGACACCCATGGGATCAACTATCTCCAGACTAATAGCTGAAGCGGTGATGCAGAGACTTGAAAGCATGGCCCTTCCACTAATCCAACCAAAACTAAGGATACGTTACGTGGATGACACCTTCGGCATTATTAAACGGACCAAACTAGAGGAGACACAGGAACTAATCAACAACACCCTCATTGGAATCAGATTCACTAGAGAAGAGGAGAAGAACAAACAGCTCCCATTCCTGGACATCATGGTGGAACACAAGACAAATGGGGAATTCCTAACAAAGGTACACAGGAAAACCATACACACTGACCAAGGGATAACAAGGTGTAGAGCTGGATGAACACAGCAGGCCAAGCAGCATCAGAGGAGCAGGAAGGCTGACGTTTCGGGCCTAGACCCTTCTTCAGAAATTGTACTGAATTTTGACAGCAACCAGCCTAACACACACAAACAAAGTTGCATGAGAACATTTTTTAGAAAGGGCAAGAACACACTGCAGCAGCACAAAGCTACACCAAGAAGAGGAAGAGTACCTCTTCCAAGTATTCAAAGACAATGGATACCAAAAAAACTGGGTCAGAGATGCCTATTACACGAACAACATCAGGAAGATACTACATGCCCCAACACACTCATGATGCTACCTTACATCAGGACCACATCTGAACTGACCACATGACTCCTACAACCACTGAGCATCAGAGTAGCACACAAACCCACATCAACCTTTCACCAACTGCTTATCCATACCAAAGACCCACTACCCACTATGGACAGGACCGATGTCATATACAAGATTCCCTGAAAAGACTGTGACAAACACAACATAGGACAAACAGGAAGGAAATTAACCAGCAGGGTAATGAAACGTCTGCGAAACAACGAACCAGCTCAGTGAGCCAACCAACCACAACATCCACAACCTGAGCTACAAATCTACTCTAAAAGCCTTTGGAACTCCTTAGCACAGAGAGCTGTGGGGGCAGAGTCCTTTTGTGTATTTAAGACTGACATTGATAGATAGGAATCAAGGGCTATGGGGAAAGGACAGGAAACTGGACATGAGGTCTGTTGGATCAGACATGATCCTATTGAATGGCAGAGCAGGCTCAAGGGACCAGACGGTCTATTCCTATTGGTTTTATTGATTAGAAAGCAGGAGTAGGAATCCTAGTCAATTATACCTTTATAAACTGAAGTTTACAGTTTGTCATGGAGTCCCCACTATCACTTTGATTGAGATCAGCCAATTTAGTAGAGACAGGTGACCTGACTTGGAATCTTTCTGGCCCACATATCTTAACAATTCACTACTTTAACCAAAAGATGCATCAGGGAAACCTGAGTATATGACCTTTAATTATAATTTTTATTATTTAAAACAAATGTTTATTTAGATACATTCACTTTTTTAATCTTGGCTTCATGAGCTGTACCTTGTGCTGCCAAGGCCCCATGTTCAGGAATTGCCTCTTCTACCTTTCTGCTATTTATTCTTCCTTTAAGACACACCTTAAAACATTCCTTTTTTACTAAGCTTTAACCAACTACTCTAATGATTCATAATGGGGAGTAGTATGGGAGGTGTACTATTGTTGCAGATATAATTGCACCATGTACAGTGCCTTTAGGATAAGAGGGATCATAATTAATCAATGCCTTTCAATATTATTACTCTTTTTAGCATCTAGGTGTTAGGCTGATCTCTGCTTTTGATTCTGTTTCGTGCAATCCTTTTACCGACTGATCCCACATGGAGAATGTTGTTTGCTTTTCAGCATTCATTGAAGAAAGTAAAATCATGTAATTTGAAAAATTTGAATAAATTCTTTGATGCCTAAACTCGATAACCCATCACGATAAAAATAAATATTTTGTCATGAAATGCCTCTGTCACATTCAATGATTACAATATCAGATCATGTTTGCTAAGAGAAAGAAACTTCTAACAATATCACTATTTCTCTCTTTTATCTGAAAACCAATAATGTCCTCCTTAGCGTTTAACATTAGAGCCCTTGTAAAGAAAATCCCAAACCAATTGTGCATGCAAAGTAACAGTGAATCCATTATTTTCAATTCAATAACGTTCTCATCAGTATTTTTAAACTTGATTCTTCAGGGTATCATTAAAAGAACAGAAAAATATTTTGATGATGTTCCAAATGTTGTTTGAAGCTTTGTTTTTAACTCACTCAAAAAAATGCAGTTATACATTTGTGGTTTCTTATCTGATGTATTTGGATGTCTGTGCTGAAGTGGGGATTGCCCGTCTGCTAGCAGTGGACAATCTGTTAAATGAATGTCTGCATGTATGAAGACATTTTGGCGAAAAAGGTGTCCAAATCTGATAGCAACAGATGAGAAATATCAGTAATTTCAATTTACCTTGAAAATATTATGATGTTTTAATAGAAACTTCTTGTAATAATTGTTAAGGTGTTTAGGGTATCGGATCTGAGCTTCATTTTCAAAACTTTGCTAAACATGTACATTTACAGTCATTTCAGAAGAATGCAATGGAAAATGCTTATTTCAATGGAGTTGCTTGATCTTACAACTAATGATATTGAGACGTTATCTTGGAGTAAATGTAACCTATTGATCAGAATTGAGTATCTTTTTTCAAAAGGAGAGAAAATTGCCGTAGCAACAGAAGCTTTGTTCTTCATTCTTTTGAGTTCTTCCCAATCTAACAATTAGGCTGCTGTATGTTGGAATTGACATCTTCATTCTTACGTGAGCTTGACTATGTTATTGCGTTGATTTTCACAGGGGAGAGCAAGTTGGAGGTCCACTCATAATGGGAGTCTGAAAATGTGCGTGGCAATGTTTTTCCGAAGCCGCTTTCTATTCCTCCTGGCTGTAGCTGCCCTGCTTGCTGTCCTGAGTCTCAGCCTACAGTTCTGTAAGTACAGCTTCTACTGATTTACTTCTGATAAACAGACAAATCATATAGCACTGCTAATGCAAGACAAATAAATAAAAAAGCACACTCAAGAAGTAGCCTTTCTCTGCGGTTGGTGTACCATGTGTCGGAAGTTTTTAAGTTGAGTAACAAATTACTTCCAAGGGTGAAAATTATTTTAGCAATTTTACATTTTAAAAATATTTCTAATCATAATATTTGACATTCCTTTTTAAAACAATTCCTTCATTTTGTAATTTTAAACTCTTTTAAAGTGTAAAATGGTACTAGAAAACTACATTATAATTGGTACAACTTAATTTGTGCTCATGTTTTCTCCATCAATGGTTGAGCTACATTTCCAGTAAGCAGATTTTGTCTATTGCAATTCAGAGATGAATCTGTATAGAATTGGACAAACCAAGTATCAACAATTAATCCACTTATAATCCCCTTTTTGGATTAAATGTAATTCTATGTTGCTATGCTATGAAACTAATTTTGAACTGATATTAAAGTCAAATCAGGCATCATAGACTAACGTTTTAATATTTGTATCATTTATAGAGTTGTTGGCAAGGCTAGCATTTATTGCCTAATACTAATCTACTTTAAGTAGTTGGTAGTTAGCTGCAGTTCATGTTGTGAGGAAATCTATCTCTTTAAATTGTTTCTGAGAGTGTTTGGCTTCATTGTAGAGCATTGCAAGGAGACAAGCCACCCATGCTCCTTTGCCAGGGCATGACCAGAAGCAGCAGTGCAGGTATGTGTTGTGAAAAGAGTTACCAGGTGACTGGGGTTTTGACATGTCAACCTGACCGCATGTCCTGCAGAGGGGGAAGCCAATAGTGATGGAGGGAAGGGCTGTGTGTAAAGTGAGTTCACAACGAAGGACTTGGGTGAATAATGACGGTAGATAGCTTGCTGTAGCTGGGGAACTAGAGCTCAGAGCAGACAGGGAGCAGTGGTTGCTCAATGCACCTGGGAACTTGAGGCTCAGAGAACATAGAACATAGAACATAGAACACTACAGCGCAGTACAGGCCCTTCGGCCCTCGATGTTGCGCCGAGCTGTGAAACCAATCTGAAGCCCGTCTAACCTAAACTAATCTCAAAGCTCCATGAAGCTGAAGAAATGTCTGCTGAGTGCAGTCAAGGAGCTAGAATCATGACAGATGTTGAGATGCGGCCACGTGAACCCAATGGGACACAGTCTGGGGGAAAGAGATCCAGCAGCTGGAAGGTGAACAATCATTGGGGCATTCAGAGTTTGAGTCCTGTTGCATGATAACTTCCTGCAGACAGAAGCAAAGCACCCCCCAAGCTGATTTGGAATTGCCTTTGAACAGGAAATCAGTGGCTAAATCTTTGAAAGAGAGAATCTGGAATCAAGTTTAAGGCAGAATTAGAAGTGATCATTGATATCTGGCTGGGCTACTAAGAAACTTGAAGTACATGCCTTAGTTGTGTCTGTCATTTGGTGCGTAGTTAGTGGTTTGTATTAGACCACAGTTTGCATGTTAATTCATATTTACATGCTGTTAATTCTGGATGTTAGAATTTAGATAAGATAACATTGATTGTTTGCCTTTTTGATGTTTGTATTGTAAACTTTCACCTGTTTGTTTAAAATGATGGAATTTGTTGTTTTTGTTTCCTCTCGGTAAGTAACTGGGACTTCAAACTTTTTGTACTCTTCAATAAAAGCTACTGATCACTAACTGGCTGGTAACAGTGTTGCACTGTGAAGAAGTAAGGTTCAAATTTGGTTCCAGTGATAGGACAGGACTAGCTGTAATACCAATTCAGGATGGAGTGAGACTTGGAGGAGAACTTGCAGGTGTTTGGATTTCCATGCATCTTTTCTCCTTGCACTTCTAGACGGAATTGGAGGAGATTTGGTGAGTTACTGCAAAGCATCTTATCAGTGATAAATATTGCTGCCGCTGTATGCCACTGTTGGAATGAGTGGATGTTTATGATGGTGGATGAGTTATCAATCAGCGGGTTGCTTTCTCCTGGATCACGTTGGGCTTCCTAAGTGTTGATGGAGTTGCCCTCATCCAGGTAAGTGGAGAGGATTTCCACCGTCATGACTTATATTTTGCAGATGGTGGATGGGCTTTTGGGAGACCGGAGGCAAGTTACATGTCATATAATGCCAAGCCTGTGACTGAATCTTTATAGCTGTAATATTTATTTGTTGTCCCAATCAACTTTCTTGTCAATGGTGAATTCACCTGAAAGGTCATTAAAAATGGTATATTCAGTGATATTTCTACCATCAAGCATCAAGGGATCATGGTTGAATTATCACTTGTTGGAGATGCTCATTTCCTGACACTTATGCAGTGCAAAGGTTATTTACTCTTAAACAAAACCAGGATGTTACCCAGATCTTGTTGCAGGTTAGCATGGACTTATTATTTGAGAAGTGATGAATGAAATTGAACTCAATGAAATCATCAGTGAAAATCCAAACCTTTAGTCGATGGAGGGAATATCATCAATGAAGCAACTGAAGATGATGATGCTTAGCATGTTTCTCTGACGAACTTCTGAGGAACTCCTGGAGCTAAGATGCTTGACCTCCAACTACCACAACCATCTTTCTTTCTGCTAGGTATGAATCCAAGCAGTGGAGATTTTTCCTTTGCTTTCAGTTGACTTCAATTTTATTAGGGCTTCTTGATTATACTCTCAACCAAATGTTTCCTTGATATTGAGGGAACTCATTGTCACATTACTTCTGGAATTCAGTTCTTTTGTCAAGTTTTGAACCGAGCATGTAATGAAGTCTGGAGCTGGTGGAATTTAAACTAGCCTCAGTGAGCAAGTTATTAATAAGTACTGCTTGATAACTTTGTTGAAACCAATTCCCATCACTCTGCTGCTCATCAGCATAAACTGATGTTTGGTGAAATCACTTTGACCTCTTTATTTTTCGTAGACAGGAAAGTTGTACCATTTTTCACTTTATAATGTAAAAAGCAGTGATATAGCTTTACTGGACCAACTTGATGAGGACCATAGCTAGTTTAAGCGCGTAAGCTGTCATTACTATAGCTGGTGGTGTTGGTCCCTATAATTTTTCCATTATCCAGTGCCTTCAGAAGTTTCTTGATTTCAGGCAGTGTGAATCAAATTAGCTGATGATTGTGATACTGGAGGCTCCAGGAGGAGGCTGAGGTAGAGTTGCTGGGCTCCACTGGGGTTCTGCAGGGCTGTTTTTTTAGAAGCTTAAGATTTCTATTTCTAGTTTTTATGAGGAAATATATGTAAATTGATTGTGGTATAGCACTAACTGTTCTGGTGGGGCATTTATTGATGGTTAGAAAGAAAATTCTCCTACAATTACAGCTGGCAGACTTTAAAACCTCATGAAGTATTTGCATACTGAGGTCCGGTGAGGTAGCTGCCTTTTTCCCCCTTCTTTGGCAGAATCCTTTTCTTTTTAGGCAGTCGGGACTGAAGCTGATTTTCTTTCACTCTGGAATTGTGCCTCCTAAGGTTAGTAAGCAGTCTGATCATATCTGTAATTCTAATCCAGGTGGCATTGTTTGTAGAGAGAGGTCAGTAGGATAATTCGCATGTTCCTCCTGTTGTTTCAGCTTGGCATCCACTTGGGCCTGTTGGAGATGATTGGTATTTTCATGATGCTTCTTCTACAGTTTGGGTGTTTCAGGGAAAGTGATTCCCATGAGTTGGTGGAAATGTTGTTTTTTTTGTGGAGGCTTTGAGGATACACGTGAAATGTTTTCTCTGCCCTCCTGTTTGTTTTGAATAGAGAGTTTGTCATGGAAGTCTCAACTCAGGCATGCAGATGATGTGCATCCAACACAGCTGATTGACCATAGAAAGGGCTTTGATGCTGGTGATGTTGGCTTGAGAGAGGGTGCAGAATACCGTCCTTAAGGCTGAAATGGAAACTCTTTTGGCAGATTTGTTTTAGGCAAATTTGGGCAAAGGTGGAGAAGCAGAATTAGCGTTAGCTGAGAAATAGGGAGACTGCTGGTCTGCAAAGTGAGAGAAGCATTCCTAGACTAAAGACTACCAAGCAATGCAGAAATGCTTCATAATTTCAGATATGGCAATTTCAGATTTCCTGACTTGTATAAAATAATACATGAGTTTGCTTCTCCCTACCCATGTCATGTGTTGTTTCCCCATCAAGGACTGAAATCTCATTACATTATCCAATTGGAGCTAAAACAAATCTAATCACTGGTCCACTTATTACTAATGTGATAAACACATACAGTTGCCCTAACAACAACCATCAAACATTAACAGATGATTAATACTCACATTTTTTATTGCAAAATGCTTAACAATTACAACAATCAGACTGGAACAAGTTTTAATTAAAATGGGACAGTACCTTCTTCAAAAGGTCAAACACCAGAAATGTCACCAAGCAACGGGCATTTAGCTTGAGAATCATATAAATCAGACCTTATGATAATTTTCTAGCCAGGTCCAAATTACACCCAAGTATCCTTTTCGTAATCTATATTATACATTTCAAATATTCTTCAAATCTTTCAAATCTTCTGATTATTAGGGGATCAAAGTTTACAAGGAGAAGGCAGGAGAATGGGACTGAGAAACGTGTCAGCCATGATCAAATGTAGACCAGACCAGGCCTAATTCAGTCTCTATACCTTATGGTTCTTTGATAAACCACAACGGTCTGGAACTTTGATTTTCCAATAAATAAGTCTGTGTTGATGTAGAGCACTCAGCCAGTCAGTCAACAATTCCAACTTTCCAGAGAGACAGAGGGGTAAATTGTCATCTATTATAATGATGCAGAAGCTTTCGACATTGTTTCAGAATCCAAGACAGTTCTCTTTTTTAGAGATGACTGAAATAACTTGCATTTCATATCTCCCATTCCCAAATATTACTGTGTCCTGAGGAAGGGTCATCGACCCAAAATGTTAACTCTGATTTTTCTTCACAGATGCTGCCAGATCTGCTGAGCTTTTCCAGCAATC